AATGATGTTTGTGGCTTCAAAATAAGATGTTGACCAGAAATTTTGACTTTTGACTGTCAAATGACCATTTTGCCCCTGCAGTTGACTGTGAAGCATTTATGGTTTTTGACTGTGCAATTTGATGCTGTGAGTCTTGAAACTTGGCATATGGATGCTTGACAATGTATGTAGGCATGTGGGACTTGTTTGGACCTTGAAAGCTTCAATTTCTTTGCCAGAACCAAAACCCTAATTTTGACTGTGTTAGGAGGCAATTAGACTGTGCAACCTTTGAGTGATTTTGAAGCATGATCTTAGCAAACCTTGAAGAATATGGGAGGGAAAATTTTAGGGTACAACAATGTCAAAAAGGAAAATTTTCAAAACCTTCCTTTAAATCTAAAAATGTTGTCTCTTCCTCTAAGCCATTAGAATTACTTTATATTGATCTGTTTGGGCCAATTAAAACTGCATCCATCAGAGGCAAGAAGTATGGATTGGTCATTATTGATGACTTCAGCAGATGGACATGGGTCAAGTTTTTAAAACAAAAGGATGAGTTACATTCTGTGTTCGTTGACTTCTGTAACCAAGTGCAAAACGAAAAATATTTTAAAATCATAAAAGTCAGAAGTAATCATGGTGGTGAATTTGAAAATCATTATTTTGAAAAATATTTTAAAGAAAATGGTATTGTTCACAATTCCAATTGTCCTTGTGAAAATCCAAACCCTAATTTGAGACATTAGTGTTGAGGAGATGACTTAACCTAGTCAATACTTGTGTAAGCTTGAACCATTGAAGATTTTTTGTGAGAAATGTCTTGAAAAAAGAGAGGGAAAATTTTGGGGTACAACACCTGTGCCGTGTCAGGTTCATGCGCTCCCTCAAAAATTGGCTGATTGTATCTCTGAAACTTCCCAAAAGCACAGAACATATCATCATTGTTGTTTCTAGCATTCACGTTGACGTGCGGCTGCTGCCCAATTCTTCTAGCCAGCATTGCCAAAGCTTCAATAATCGTGTCGTCATTCCTTCCTCCAACCATTGTTCTGAGAATTTCAAGCAACAAATCCTCGTTAGAACAAACAATACTGATAGTGTCATATACACATATCAAATATAAAAGGGAATAAACACATTAACAACTTGGTCAACTGACCGACCATGCTCTAATACCACTAATGTAATACTCTCTTAAACCCCGCGAAATATTACGTCATAAATTAGAGTAAATATAACATGCATATCACTTAAGGGTGTCACACATACTCCATACATAACAACTCATGTCATGCTCAATAACACTAAATTAAATTCATGTTTTTCACATCACTTTCATTAAAATGAATATAATATTCAAGTCTCTAATATAAAATTCATTTATTTAATCAACTTAGGCATACAAGCCACTTCACTATATAATTTAAATAACAATAATAAAATAATATAGAGTATATAATGTATCTCTCAAAACATGAATCTAAACGTTTCCCCAGTTTTACATGACCAGAGCATGACTCAACCCAAAATAAATATGGAAATAAAATAAAGATAGCTTCTTCATCTTCACTCTTGTCAAAGCAACTATAATCTTCAGTACCTGAGCAATATCGTATAAAACATCATTCCAACAAAAGTGTGAGAATTAACATAATTATCGAAATCATATAATAATATATAATACATAACATTAATGTATAAAAACAACATTCTCACACTTCATATGTCTAAAAAAACGTAACATCACCCAAATAGTCATACTATTCACAAATATTCATTTATCATTCATAATTTCACAAAATACAACAATTCCACATAGTTCACATAATTCCATATTGTAAATATACACGCAATATGACTCAATGACACTCAAATGTAATATTCATGCATGTGGTACTAATCACTGTTAATTTTATTCAATTTTTACTTTAAACTGAGTCCGTCCTCTAGACTAATAACACAAAAAAACCTGTTTTTTAAGCTTTCAAACTCTTCTCTAAGTTTGGGACAAGTCACTAGCTGTCTCGGAACTAACAAACATGTCTCTTGACAACAAATGATGCATGTGCAATTACAACAACCATGTGTAATTAAGATTATTCTCTAATCTTAACATTTATGCATATCTTCAATAATTCATCACACTTGAATTATCACACATTTGCACATATATATATATATATATATATATATATATATATATATATATATATATATATATATATATATATATATATATATATATATATATATATATATATATATATATATATATATATATATATATATATATATATATATATATATATATATATATATATATATATATATATATATATATATATATCTTCATGAATTATCCACATACAATGCATATTCATAACACAACCATTCCAAACCAACATAATAACACATAGAAAACAATATACAAAGTATCATTACATTTCAACATTAACCACAATCACACAACACACAAATACAAGTCATTTTACACAACCACGTGATAATTAAATCACCTATTGCCAGCAAGACCATTTTCATTGAAAATAATATCGCGCTAGCTTTCTAACGCTTCGAACGGGGATTCAAATGGAGTTACGGTTCAAAAGTTATGAATTTTTGAAATTTTTAAAAAAATCTGTCAACTTCAGGAAATCGTTTTCTCCAATATTGAAAACCGGTTTTCACACTGTGAGAGTGGAAATTTTGTTGTTTTAAGTACGAAAACCAGTATTTTCAACCTAAAAATCCAACATTTGAAATCAACATCATATTCTTCAATTCAACAACTCACACATACGTATTACACAATATTTTTTATTAATTCTATAATATCAATTTCACCAATTTAAATGCATTTGTACCAACAATTCATCATTCAAACCTAACAATTTCAAAACCTATAAAATTTAAGATTTTCATCCTAAACATATAACTAATTATTAAAGTTGGAGTGTTACAATTATAAAAAGAGGAAAGCGAAATCCAAGAAACCACTATAAGTGTGCGGAAGAATGTTCGAAGAAGGAAGACTAAGCCTTCGTAACCAAGAAAGTTTGAAAGCTAGTATTATATAGCAGTATGCATGCACCGGCAGCACTCATATATTTTAGTTTTCTTATTAAAAATTATATTTTGTTCTACATTTGAAAAAGAACTTGCTCATGAACAATCACATGAAAAATGATACAATGTTATGAAAACAAGTTGTTGGGATGGTTTGCAGTAGCATATATTTGAAACATTATAGTCTCACATCAAAATTTTATGTACAAATGAAAATATTTATAAATAACTATTATAAATCTTCATTGATTTAAAATAATTATAAATAAAAATTACTAATTTAAGAAAACGTAAAATAAATTAATATAATATTAAAAAACGTAAAAAAATGTAATATATAAAAAAAATAAGAAAAGATTAAATATAAAATAAAAGAATTACAGGTGGCGTTTAAAAATAAACTATCAATTCATTAAAATTAAATATGTATAAACACACTATAATGTTCTTTTATAAATTTAAAAACACATAATACAAAAGGATAAAACAGTAATCAACTAAATATATATTTTAAATCCACATGATATTGAATTTTAAATTTTTGTTAATTTAATAAAAATTCATTTATGTGACCATTCATTTTAAATCTTGATTTTGAAAGATTTCTTTTTAATTTGATAAAAATGTATTTATGTGATTACTCATTTTAAATCTTGATTTTAAAAGATTTCTTGATTTAGTAAAATTTTAAAAAATCTTATGATAATTCAAAATAATTTATGATGTAAGAATGTTTTAACCTCTTGAAAAGACATCACTACCCATCCTTACTTATTTTACGACTATTAATTTTTTTGGTTTTTTGGTCTTTCTATAACGAATTGTCCAATTATAGTATTAAAGAATTCGATCCTTTTTGTTATATCTCTCTTTCACATAAATCCATATCATTTTTACTCTCTTTTTCTCTTTCTTCCTTTTGACGACCTTTCTTTCTTTACAGTCTCATCTTTCCTTACAGATCCCTAACCCTAAACCTTCTTATTTCTTCTCCTTCTACACGCCTTATGCTTCCTTCTTCCTTCCGTTCTTCCTCTTCTTCACAGTGAAAAATGGAAAGATATGGAATCTGAATTTACCAGCGACGGGATGTGATAAGGTGGCGGTATGGTGAATCTTATGGTGGCGTGAGCGACGACTTGAAGAGGACACGCGGATGCGGTGTTAAGCAATTTGCGTGACAACTTTGGAGCACGGTGGATTCGAAGATCATTCTCTGTTCGTCTCTCTTAAGTTTTTGATAAAAAGAACTATTTTCCAATGTCTGATTATGTTCTTGTTTTTTCAATTTTGCAGATTTCTGACATCGAACCCACTAATGCGGCTGGAAAACATTGGAGGTATTGGTGAAAGGTTGTACCATGGAAGAGGAACATGAAAGTTTCATCATCAAGATTGAAGTGTTTTTTTGTGGTATCTTCATACGAGTTTTTGAACGTTTGTATCTTTATATCTTTATAGTGAAAGTGTTGGATTCAGGTGATTATGTGGTCGCCACAGCTGTTGAAACTTTCACAGTTGCATTGAATAAAAAGTATATTTATTAGTTTTTTATGTGAGGAAAAATTCTATAGAAAACTAAAGATTTAATTTCTAAAATCAACCAAGAAGTTCTAACAAGTTTTATTGATTTTATAGTTTTTTATCATAAAAAATTAAAAGGAAAATACTAAATCTAACAAGAAAAGTAGGAGGATTAGGGGGTGTGAACTGAAATTAGGTGCGTAGAAGCAGTGTGCTAGGCCCAAACAGCAAGGGTCCAGAAGCTGTTTTTGTTTTGTTTAATTGGATTCCAAACAAATTGAAACAGGCCTAGGGATGATGCAATTCGGCCAAGGGGTATGAGTTCAGTAATTGCAATGTAACATTAAGCTCAATCTTATTTCCAGTTTTTTATTAGCACAATTGATTTTCTGATCATTAAATTAAAGAAAACAAAAAATGAAATAATTATGATGAGGTTTGGCATAGGGAAAAAGTATTGTGACGTTACATTCTTTATGAATGAAGACCCTCTTCTCCATCAACCACGGCGGCACGACATCTCAACCTTTGCTCTTCCTTCTACAAAAGCTCTGTCGTGCTTCATTCCAGACTCATCTCCGTTTCCCCTCGCCTCGGATCCAACATATCCATTCAAACTCCGATACCGAAATATCATTCTCCTTAAAGCTTTAACGGCGACGTTTCTTCTTCTCCATCTTCTGTTCGACCTTTGACTTTCTCTAAACTCTCGAATTCAATCTTTGTCTTCGCTTATACTCTGAATCGATTAAAAAAATGGAACCTAAAGGCTCCAAGGAGAAATGTCTTAAGATTCATCCCCGAATTATAGAAGATGCGACAAAAGGTGAAAGAGATCGAAATCGTACCGACCGGAGAAAGTCAGGCGCTTGATTCACGCTGTCGATGAGAAGAGAATTCCCAAGTTAAATCCAGGTACCGCTTCTTTTATTTCATTCTTCATCTCTTCTTCTTTTGCTTTTTGTATTGTTGCGATTTTGTGCAATCTGAAATTTTTTGTGTCATGTGATGACGATTCACGGTTCAATTGGGATGAAGTTGTTGATGCAGCGTTGATAGTGAAGATTGAAGATGTTGTTGCAGTATATTAAAGAACATGAATGTTGCGGGAAGATTGTATAGAGAGTGAATATTGCCACAAATTTAAGGCTCCGTTCTGAGAAGATGAAGGTTCCAGATGCTTGAAGCCTAGATTTCAGAGAGATCTTCTTGAGAGGTTTTCTTGGTGTTGAATAATTGTAATGAATCACTTTTGAGATTTTTTTGTGTTTGTGTGATTCTTCTAGAAGAATTGAACAAGTGATGAAGATGATGGAAGAGGGCGCAGAGAAAGGCTGTTGAAGATTTTGGTGATTCTTCTGTGTGTTATAGAATGGTGAAAATGAAGCAGAGAATCCAAAGAGTGCCGAGGAGAATGGTGAGTTTTTTTTTCTGATTCTAATTTTCTGATAAATTCGTGAAATGAATCTGGTTTTTCTTGTGAAAGCGTTGGGTCGTATCTGCTCCCAGTGGCTGAATCTGAAATCCTGTTATATAGTGATAGAGTTTGTTACAGAATTAGTTAGAGGGTTAGAAATTTGTTAGGATATGAGCTGGTAATGGAAGATTCAGTTGGAAATCGGTTATATGTTAGTGAGTTGGTTAGGGGTTAGAAAAAGTTAGTTATGTTGTTGTGAAATTCTGTTAGTTCTGTTTAATGCTGTAAACAATTTTCTAATTTAATTTCTATTTCTGATTTTTTTTTGTTGTTTCCTGAGTTGAAATGCTTGATTTAATTTCTCTTATTTGCCTTTTCATCACATTTTCCTGTTATGTGATGTACGTAGCAGTACGATTTATGTTTTGGATATTGGTTTATGTTGTGAACCGAACTAGTTTAGTGTAGGTTAATTATGCAGCAAATCATTGTTCAAACCGATTCCTGTAGGTTTATCTTCTGACTGGTTTTTTCATGATTATGTGCAGGACCGTTTAGATGTTTGGATATGGGACTTACTTCACGAAAACTTAATGCAGCAACCCTGGATCTGTTAAAGTTCTGATTATGCAGGTTTATGTGTTTGGCATAGCCTTGATGCAAGGTTTTGGAGACAAATAGAGGCTCGGTGAAGTAAGCTCATATTTGGTACTTTTCACATTGGATGGTGATGCTGTTGATGTTAAAACATATGCGAGCCTTTACCAATGTAAGCTCCGTTTCGGTACATTTCAAAGTCATTACATGCTATTGAGTTTTTAATTTTTTGGTAAAGTTATTTCCTTTTCAAAATGCAATTTGTCGAACATAACTCATGTTAGGAAATAAAATAAATAAAAATTTTGAAGATGAAAAAGATTATTGCTGTAAAAAATTATTGGGTTTGGTTTCTCGAGTTCGATTGCGGGGCGATAATGTGGCTGACGTTGCTGTTACAGAATATCCGAAGGAGTTTAATTTGAGGACCGCAATAAAGTTGAAACGCCGGTTTCTTAAGGTTTGAATTGAATATTTCATTGTTCGTTTGAGGACCGTGATATTATTTTGTTGCACGTAATTATTATTGCCATAATATTTTATAAACTCTTTTATTGATGCATGTGTACTGTTCGATGAAATGCCACTGAGGAATAATGTCACGTGGACGGGCTGCTTCAGGTCATTTAGAATCAAAAGTATCGTTTTGAATGTTGTAAATATTTTACATTTATGAACTTATTTTAGTCATTGATTTACTGCAGTCTTATTGGTAGTTTCGTCTTATTTTTGTCGCGGTGAATGAGCGATTTGTTTATGCCTACTGCTCTTTCTGTAGGCTGGTGACATGTTCAATTTGGTGTTGTCAACAAAGTCTCTTACTTGATATCGCATGAATCACAATGTCGTCACTGCCACCGAAAAATAAGTTACTTTTATATGTTCTATTGGTTGATCGTAAGTGAATATTGAATATTTATGAGTTTTGTGTCCAGGTTATTTCGGAGAACTTTCTGAACATGGACGGCATTAGGGGCAACAGAGTTCATCAGAAATGGAATCATGTTACTCACATGTTGACAACTCTATTTTTTTTGTGATATTTTCTTGTGTTAATTGCTAGACAGGTTTTGTACATGGACTGTGTTAAAAGAAAGGCTTTACAATGAAGAAATGGAAGATATCTTGATGAAGTTGAACCAATGGGACCTGACACAGAGATGATGAGATGGGAATGTTTGAGTTACCACATGTACTAAAGTTATATTCCCTCATGTGTCAATGCTTTTGCCATGATTGGCTTGAATTGTTCATACTGCTTTGGATTTTTGAAACCTTAACAACTTGAATGTTACTTGAAATCTCTTTGTACCAAAACGAAAATTGTAACTTCAAACTTGAATGCCATTTGGAATTTGGTCTTTGTAGCCAATATGAATGCAACTTTGTAGTAGTTCCTGAAGATGGCAATTGTATAAATGTCTTCTGCCAGAGGAGTTGCAATGCTGCCCATATTCGAAGATTGGTCGGGAAGCCGGGTGCAAGTATTGCCTTGGAACAGGTATGTTTCGAATCTTCACAGATTGTCACTCTCTTGATGTTATCTACATAGATTATCACTCTCCATGTGTTCTTCGTAGATTGTCACTCTCTTAAAGTTATCTATTGCTTTTCCATGAACTAATTTTACATTTACTTTTCTTGCACATGTCATTGGCGTTGATTTTTCTTATAAGTCTTCTGGTCTCTCATATTACTCCTTGCTATTGTAACTTACACATACCTGTAAGTTTGACATGATATTTGATTATCATATAGTTTTTCATAAGCTTTTTTTCTTGCAACTTTCTGCACTTATAGTTTTTAGTTTATGTTCCATTTTCATACATGCACATCATTGCACTTGTACGGTCTGATTTTCTCTTACTAACTAAAATTGTTTACTTGTTGTTTTATTATAGTGTACTAAAATTGTTTACTTGTTGTTTTATTATAGTGTACTGGGATGACACATTGAGAATAACTGGCCTTATAATCATGTCGGCTGGAAACCTGGAATCGTCAACTAAAGATTAAAACTACAGATTTAGAAAAGCAAAAATATTACCTAACCATTCCAACAGCCACTTTATTATTTAACCGGGGATTTGGCATAGTCGGCATGTCAGTCCACTTTATTATTTATATAATATAGTTAGAAAATTTTATTATTTTGAGACTTCAAATAACCATCCATTCCAACAGCCTCCCATCACAGGAGTGTCATTGAGAATATAAAGTCACTCTTATCTCATTTATAAATATTTTCTTATATTGGAACCAGCTATTTATACGAATTTAATTTATTCAAGTATGTTGATTAATTTATTACCAATTGGTTGGATTTGCGATGTATGATTCTCAAGTACAAATTGGTGCCACTCCATAGTACATGGCTAATTTTTACATGGTAAGTGGTTTTCTTTTTAATGAAATTGATTTTTGAAATCTCATGTTTTAGCCACATCTTTTTAATCATATTTCTACTCTCAGTGCATGTCCACATCAGAATTCGTACGAATGCACGAATTTCCCATTAGTAATACAATATGAGTACTAATTAAACAATTAATATATATATTAAAAAAATATATAATATAATTTTATTTAAATAAAAAATAATAAAATTTGCTTAGAATTCAAAAAAATATTATATTTTATAATTGTTATCAATAAATATTAAACTTTATTTTTAAAGAAAGAATATATATTTTTCTAAAATTTAAGCAAATTTTACTATTTTTTAATTAATTAAAAACTTAAGTAAATTTTATATTTTGAAAAAATTCATACGTGTGTATTTTCATTTTAAATTTTGTGCGTATTAAAGATAGCAAAATTAATGTTCATAAGTTTTTTCCCTTTCTAACACGAAACCTTTTTATTATAAAACGTAGTTTACTCTACTCTATACCATTTTACATATCCAGTTTTCCATCTTCTTCCATAGAAATATTTGTGTTGACCTCATCCAAACTTTTTTTTTTTATGTTGTAATTGTTTCTATTCAATCGGTTTATATTCAGTGATTTTTCTAACTATGTTTTAGATTTGTTTCAACTTAGAGTAGGGTAGGGTAGGGTAGGGTAGTGTAGCGTAGAGTAGGGTAGGGTAGGGTAGGGTAGGGTAGGGTAGGGTAGAGTAGAGTAGAGTAGAGTAGAGTATAGTATAGTATAGTAGAGTATGGTAGGGTAGAGTAGGGTAAGGTAGGGTAGGGTAGGGTAGAGTAGAGTATAGTATAGTAGAGTAGGGTAGGGTAGGGTAGGGTAGAGTAGAGTGGGGTAGGGTGGGGTAGAGTGGGGTAGGGTGGGGTAGAGTAGGATAGAGTAGCGTATGATAAGGTAGGGTAGGGTAGGGTAGGGTAGGGTAGAGTAGGATAGAGTAGGGGTAGGGTAGAGTAGGGTAAGGTAGGGTGGGGTAGAGGGTAGGGTAGGGTAGGGTAGAGTAGAGTAGCGTAGGGTAGCGTAGGGTAGCGTAGGGTAGAGTAGGGTAGAGTAGGGTAGAGTAGGGTAGGTTAAAGTAGAGTAGTGTAGAGTATGGTAGGGTAGAGTAGAGTAGAGTAGGGTAGGGTAGGGTAGGGTAGAGTAGAGTAGAGTATGGTATGGTAGGGTAGACTAGGGTAGGGTAAAGTAGAGTAGGATAGGGTAGAGTAGGATATGGTAGAGTAGGATAGACTAGAGAAGGGAAGCGTAGGAGTAGGGGTAGAGTAGAGTAGGGTAGGGTATGGTAGAGTAGGTTAGCGTAAGGTAGAGTAGGGTAGGAGTATAGTAGAGTAGGGTAGGGTAGGATAAAGTAGAGTATGGTAGGGTGGGGGAGGATAAAGTAGAGTAGGGTAGGGTTAAGAGTAGGAGTAGGGCTAGGATAGGGTAGGGTGGGGTAGGTTAGGGTAGGGGTGGGGTAGAGGTAGGGTAAGGTAGGGTAGGGGATAGGGGTAGGGTAGGTTAGGGGTGGGGTAGAGGTAGGGTAGGGTAGGGTAGGGGTAGGGGGTGGGGTAGGGGTAGGGTAGGTTAGGGTAGGGGTGGGGTAGACGTAGGGTAGGGGTGGGGTATGGGTAGGGTAGTTTAGGGGTGGGGTAGAGGTAGGGTAGGGTAGGGGGATAAGGGTAGGGGTGGGGTAGGGGTAGGGGTTAGGGTAGGGGTGGGGTAGAGGTAGGGTAGGGTAGGGTAGGGGTAGGGGTGGGGTAGGGGTAGGGTAAGGTAGGGTACGGGGTAGGGGATAAGGGTAGAGGGTAGGGGTAGGTGTAGGGTAAGGTAGGGTAAGGGTAGATTAGGGTAGGTTAAGGTAGGGTAGGGTAGGGTAGAGTAGCGTAGCGTATGGTAGGGTAGAGTAGGATATAGTAGGGTAGGGTAGAGTAGAGTAGGATAGAGTAGGGTAGAGTAGAGTAGAGTACGGTAGGGTAGAGTAGCGAAGGGTAGAGTATGGTAGATTAGGGTAGGGTCGGGTAGGGTAGGGTATAATAGAGTAGGGTAGGATAGGATAGAGTAGAGTATGGTAGCATATAGTATGGTATAGAGTAGAGTAGGGTAGAGTAGAGTAGAGTAGGGTAAGGTAGAGTAGAGTAGAGTAGGGTAGGGTAGGGTAGGGTAGGGTAGGGTAGAGTAGAGTAGGGTAGGGTAGGGTAGAGTAGGGTAGGGTAGCGTAGGGTAGGGTAGAGTAGAGTAGGGTAGAGTAGAGTAGAGTAGGGTAGAGTAGAGTAGAGTAGGATAGAGTAGAGTAGAGTATGATAGGATAAAGTAGAGTTGAGTAGGGTAGGATAGAGTAGGGTAGGGTGGAGTAGAGTAGAGTAGGGTATGGTAGGGTAGGATATGGTAGGGTAGGGTAGAGTAGAGTAGGGTATGGTAGGGTAGAGTAGAGTATAGTAGGGTAGGGTATGGTAGGGTAGGGTAGAGTAGAGTAGGTTAGGAAAGAGTAGAGTTGAGTAGGGTAGGATAGAGTAGAGTTCAGTAGGATATAGTAGAGTAGGGTGGGGTAGAGTAGTAGAGTAGGGTAGGGTAGGATAGAGTATGGTAGGGTATAGTAGAGTAGAGTATGGTAGGGTAGGGTATAGTAGGGTAGGGTAGAGTATGGTAGGAGTAGGGATAGGGTAAGGTAAGGTGGGGTAGGTTAGGGTAGGGGTGGGGTAGAGGTAGGGTAGGGGTAGGGGTAGGGGGTAGGGGTGGGGTAGGGGTAGGGGGTAAGGGTGGGGTAGGGGTAGGGTAAGGTAGAGTAAGGGGGTAGGGGTAGGGGTAGGGTACGGTACGGTAGGGGTATGGGATATGGGTAGAGGGTAGGGGTAGGTGTAGGGTAAGGTAGGGTAAGGGGGTAAGGGTAGGGTAGAGTAGAGTAGCGTATCGTAGGGTAGGGTAGAGTAGGATAGGGTAGGGTAGAGTAGGGTAGAGTAGGATATAGTAGGGTAGGGTAGGGTAGGGTAGAGTAGAGTAGGATAGAGTAGAGTAGAGTAGAGTAGAGTAGGGTAGAGTAGCGTAGGGTAGAGTAGGGTAGGGTAGAGTAGGGTAGAGTAGGATATAGTAGAGTAGAGTAGGGTAGAGTAGCGTAGGGTAGAGTAAGGTAGAGTATGGTAGAGTAGGTTAGGGTCGGGTAGGGTGGGTTATAGTAGAATAGTGTAGGATAGGGTAGAGTAGAGTATAGTAGAGTAGAGTAGAGTAAGGTAAGGTAGAGTAGGGTAGGGTATGGTAGATTTAAGTAGAGTAGGGTAGCAAAGAGTAGAGTTGAGTAGGGTAGGATAGAGTAGAGTTGAGTAGGATAGAGTAGAGTAGGGTGGGGTAGAGTATAGTATAGTAGGGTAGGGTAGAGTAGGGTAGGGTACGATATAGTATGGTAGGGTAGAGTATGTAGGGTAGGGTAGGGTAGGGTGTAGTAGGGTAGGGTAGAGTATGGTAGGGTAGGGTAGGATATAGTAGGGTAGGGTAGGGTAGGGTAGCGTATAGTAGGGTATGGTAGGGTAGAGTAGAGTAGAGTAGAGTAGAGTAGAGTAGAGTAGAGTAGAGTATAGTTGATTAGAGTAGGATAGAGTAGAGTTGAGTAGGGTAGAGTAGAGTAGAGTAGAGTAGAGTAGGGTATCGTAGAGTAGGATATGGTAGGGTAGGGTAGAGTAGAGTAGAGTAGGGTAGGGTAGAGTAGGATAAAGTAGGGGTAGGGTAGAGTAGGGTAGGCTAGGGTAGAGTAGGGTAGGGTAGAGTATGGTAGAGTATGGTATGGTAGGGTAAGGTAGGGTAGAGTAGGGTAGAGTTAGGGTAGGGTAGAGTTAGGGTAGGGTAGGGTAGAGTATGGTAGGAGTAGAGTAGTAGGGTAGGGTAGGGTAGAGTAGAGTATGGTAGGGTGGGGGAGGGTAGGGTAGGGTAGGGGTAGGAGTAGGAGTAAGGGTAGGGTAGGGTAGGGTGAAGTAGGTTAGGGTAAGGGGTGGGGTAGAGGTAGGGTAGAGGGTAGGGGTAGGGGTATGGGTAGGGGTAAGGTAGGGTAAGGGTGTAGGGGTAGATTAGGGTAGGGTAGGGTAGGGTAGAGTAGATTATAGTAGACTAGCGTAGGATAGGGTAGGGTAGAGTAGGGTAGGGTAGGGTAGAGTAGGGTAGGGTAGGGTAAGAGTAGGGTATGGTAGGGTAGAGTAGAGTATAGTAGGGTAGGGTATGGTAGGGTAGGGTAGAGTAGAGTAGGGTAGGAAAGAGTCGAGTTGAGTAGGGTAGGATAGAGTAGAGTTCAGTAGGATAGAGTAGAGTAGGGTGGGGTAGAGTATAGTAGAGTAGTGTAGGGTAGGGTAGGATAGAGTATGGTAGGGTATAATAGAGTAGAATATGGTAGGGTAGAGTATGGTAGGGTAGGGTAGGATAGAGTAGCGTAGGGTAGGGTAGCGTAGAGTAGGGTATGATAGGGTAGAGTAGAGTAGAGTAGAGTAGAGTTGAGTAGAGTTGAGTAGAGTAGGATAGAGTAGAGTTGAGTAGGGTAGAGTAGAGTACAGTAGGCTAGGGTAGAGTAGGGTAGGGTAGGGTAGGGTAGAGTAGAGTAGGGTAGGGTAGGATAGAGTAGGGGTAGGGTAGGGTTGG